CCCCCCTCCCTCCTCCAGGCTCGAACAACGACTCTTTCGAGCTGCTGCAGGATAACTCCAAGTCGCACTGCGGCCACCGGGTCGGGATCGCCCACACGCGGTGGGCGACTCACGGTGAGTGAGTGACGTCAGTATGGGCAGGGAAAGATAGGGGAGTGGGTGAGTGAGTCAATGTGGAAGGGGTCGGTCTGTGCGTAATCTAGCCGCTGGTCCAGACAGGAGGACTGATTGCGCATCGTGGACTGCTGCATGCATCACCGGCGCGAGATCGAATACGTTGAAACGTTCGGGAGTCGTGTCTTTTCCATCCCGTGCTCCCCCCCAACCATGATGATGCAGCTCCTCGTCTTTGCAACCTCCCCCACGAACGCTCTCCTCCTCGTCGTTGTTGTTGCCGCTGAACGTTCTGTTGTTCCCTTTTTTATAGGTGGCAAAACCGACCAAAACGCTCACCCCCACACGGACTTCGGGTCTCGCATCGCTCTCGTTCACAACGGCACCATCAACAACGCGCACGAGCTGAGGGGGGACCTCGAGCGCAAGGGCATCACCTTCAAGTGAGACAACAAGCCCACGCCCGTCTGTCTGCCACAGGGGGGAAGGACGGACGGTGTTTGTGGTCGTTTTTGTTTGCACTCTCGGAATGTGAGAAACAGGTCGTCACCTTCCACCTAATTTTTGGTCGTTGGTTACACTCGTAATGTAGAGAGGAGCAGGTCTTCACCCATTTATTTTTCGTTGTTTTCACTCACTCTCGGAATATAGAGAAGAGCAGGTCGTCGCCTTTCATATATTTTTGGTCGTTGCTGTTTACATTCTCGGAATGTATAAAAGAGGTCGCCACCGAATTTTGGTCGTTGTTGTCACTCGCTCGGAATGTAAAGGATCGTCACCTTCAACACTTTTGGTCAGAATCACTGCGTGCGGCCGTCGAGGCTCCAATTTTTCAATTTTGAATTATTGATCAATTTTTTTTTTTCTGCAGATCCGAAACGGACACGGAGGTTATCGCTCACCTCGTGGGCCTGGAGCTAGACTCTGACCCGAACATGGACCTCAAGGGGGCGCTGGCCAAGACGGTCGCCAAGCTCGACGGCACTTGGGGTCTCGCGGTCATCGCACACGAGAAGTGAGGAAGGAAGAAACGAAACTTTTGAAACTGTTGAGGTACAGCATATCCACTATGCTACAAGTCAGCAAGTCAGCGCTCGCTGACTTGTAGTGTAGAGTTTTGACCACAAGCGCGGCATTGTGGCAGACGCGCATAGGTTTAGCGTCCAGCAACTCGCGTGATCAATAAGAATTTCTGCAACCAGTGTTGTCGTTGTACACGCATGCCAATGTTCTGCGATTTTTGTTTTTTTTCTTGTGATCCCATGGTTTGTAACCACGTGCTGTGAACGAGAGAGTGTGGTCTTCGGGTGCGCCTCCGCATCAACCGTTCGAGGTGATAGCATACCACCGTTGGTGGAAGGGGGGGGGTGCAAGTCCTTGCCGTGAGTGGAAAAAAAAAAAACAGCTGAATACTTATTTTTCGTCTGTCCATGCCAACACGTTGAATGGTACGAGAAAACTGTTTCTTATTATTAGTGTTTTGTCTCACAACTCTGCCGCGTCCTCTCGAGGACGCGTGGTCAATGGTCTAACAGCTGAGGCATGCAAAACACGAGTGCGCCCCCCCTTCTCCGCCTTCGCAGAACGACAACCGAGAGTGTAGTTCTCCGGCCCGCTTCCTCATTTGTTTTTCGTACAACTCCCCCCTTTCTCCAAAAAACACCCCGCGTACACCAAAAAAGACCCGACGAGCTGGTCGTGGCCTGCAACGGGTCTCCCATGGTGATCGGGCTCGGCACGGACCACATCTACGTTGCCTCGGAGACCGCGGCGTTCAACAGGCACACAAAGAACTTCATCGCCATGCAGGACGGAGAGATCGCGGTCATCACGCCGACCGAATGCTCTCTCGACAAGGCCCGCATGGAGCTCGTGAGTTGAGGGTTAAGGTTGTCCTCTGTCACCCCTGACGATCATATACACGTCAGTCAGCCCATGACGTTTGGGTTATGGGGATATTCCTCCCTCGCCCCTGACGACCATATACCCGTCAATCCAGTCCATAACTTCAAGACAGGATTATTCGTCACCCCCCCCCCTGCGGACGCGTTTCTCGTACACCCTTCCTCTCGTTGCTGAAGATTATACCGCCCTGTATTTCCATCTCCCTTGTTTGTTTTTCGCACCCATACATGTTGCTGCTACCTTCGGTGTTTCGCTACGTTGTATTTACATCGCCCTTCCTTTTTCTTTTCCGAACCGATGCTGCTGCTTTCTTTACTTTTCTTCAAGGCTCCGGATCACGGCGTAGAGTCCACCCCTGCCCCTCACGCACACTGGACCCTGTACGAGGCCCTCCAGCAGCCCATGGCCATCGCCAGGGCCTTGGCATTCGGAGGTGAGGCGGCCTCGTCGTAGATCTCGCAGATGTTGTTCGAATAGAGAGGGCCTTGGCTTCGGAGGTGTGGCGGCCTCGTCGTAGATCTCGCAGATGATGATCGAATAGAGATGATATCATGAATTGTGGGCACTGTAAGTCTCTCTTCCTCGTATTTGTTCGCTCCGCTGACTTTGTACGAAAACATCCAGGCGATTGGGAGTATACTTCCGAGCCGCGACTCCTCGAGAACTGGTAACATTTTTTCGCTCTGTAAAGTCATGCCGTGTTCAAAACCAATATTTTCACCAACTGCTGTGGAGATGCCCGTCATGCCGTGTTAAAAACCAATATTTTCACCAACTGCTGTGGAGATGCCCTTCATGCAAAAGGTTGTTAGAACCTCCGCGAAAACCGTCTGTCTGAATGGTTCCGTCTACTTGTCCGCGGTCCTTCTTTGTAGCGTGATTGTTGCGATCGATCTTAGAAACCTGGTACGGAAAGACACGTCCTTTTATATTGCTCAATTGTTGCTATCGGTCCTTGTGCGGTTTTCCGTCTAAAAAGCTGATGTTTGTTCCTGTCGATCGTTGTGTCGTTTTCCGTCTAACAAATCTGGTTTGTGTTGCAATCGATCCTTGGTGGTTTTCCGTAATAAAAATGTGGTACGGGACGCGACGACCCACAGGTCGAATGACCGACTCTTCTGGTGTGGTTCTTGGTGGTCTGGACCGGAACATGGAGAAGCTCTCGAAGATCCGCAACCTCATGTTCGCCGCGTGCGGCACCAGCCTCTACGCCAGCCAGTACGGGGCCAAGCTCATGCGAGACATGGGGGCGGTCGACACGTGCAACGCACAGGTGGGTAGGGGTAGAGGTGGCCAGCAGGGTTCCGTGTGGTTTTAGTGATAGTATTTTTTGTGTCTGATGTTGTTGTCGGTATTGTTGTCGTCGTTCCTTCCTGTCGTTGATGCCACGTTCCAGTTCACTTGGCGTTTGCGTTTCGGACCATTCGACGTGCAAAAAACACTTACGTTTCGACAATCAATCGAGGTGCGATCGACTGTCCACTCCGAGAGGCACTCCACAGGAGCACCCTTCGAAGACACACACGTTGGTTGTGGCGCTTCATGCGAAACTCTCCTGCAATGATCGCCTGCTCGTGACCTTGCTCTGTGATATGTACCGGATATGCATCCCAACCCAGAGAAGGATGCATCCCTCGCCTTGCCCGGCTCCTCTCACAAAGTAAGCCCGATTTGTGCCTTTAATTTCTTACCAGACACGACGAAGTCATCTCTAGATACGAATCCGGATTTTACAGCAGTGATTTCATTTCTTTTTTTCCTTTCAGGATGCGGCGGAACTTCGAGTTCAGGATATTCCCAAGAGCCAGGGCGGGATCATAGCCGTCAGCCAGAGCGGAGAAACCAGGGACACCTTGAAGGGTGAGCGAGACGCGAAGAGAGATCATGAATATTCGCACTTGTTTTGTTTCATTTATTTTTCCTGAAGTGATATCGACAGGATAATAGACTACGGAAGACATTTTTGAGCCAACTTTGGCAGAGTAGGAAGAAACGATTCGCCGGCAGTTATCGGTCCTGTGGAAACAATGCTCCATCCCTTCTCGTGTCGTTAACGGTCATTACATTACCATACCTCAGCACAATAATGCAACACCCCCGTCCCCGACCCGCCCCACTCGCGCGCGACAATCTTACGCTTGGTGTGTTCCCGAATACCGTGAAAAAAAAAAAACAGCCTTGAAGGCCGCCGAGATGGTGGGCATCCCTCGCCTGTCCGTGGTTAACGTGGTTGGGTCTGCCATCGCGAGAGAGACAAAGATGGGAGTTTACCTTAACGCCGGCCGAGAAACCGCCGTGGCTTCCACGAAAGCCTTCACCACGCAGGCGAGATAAAGTTATCAATAGAACAATGAAGAAAGAACACGCCGTATTTTGTGTTTGTTGATGTACCGCCGCGATGCTGTATGTACGACGAGCAACCGAGCTTCTGGAAAGCTGCTTCGGTTGCGTTCCATGGTATACCGAGCTGCTGGAAAGCTGCTTCCGTTTTGTATTCCATGGCATATCGAGCTGCTAGGAAGCTGCTTCTAACGGCAGGCACCCTTGCATCGTGTTGCATGCATAGTCTAGGACTGAACCGAAGAATCTGCGATAATTTTTTTTGTTTTGGCTATCAACGAACACCATCACCTCGTGGTGGAATGCTGCAAACCAACCCCACCCTCTCCTTCTTGATTGGTTGATTCAGGTCACAGTCCTGTCGCTCATGGCCCTGTGGTTCCGCCAAGTCCGCGAGGCAGAAGTGTCCAACCCTGCCGACGTTATAGATGTGGGTGTCCTATCCTAACACTACAGTAGAGGTCACTGCTGTTTGGTACCGGGATGTGCGGAGACATTTCACCGGCACTAAACCGGACACCGGCACTATTCAAAGTAAATGACGACTTGGTATTCCAGTGTGTGCTAGCCGAAAAACACTATACCGGCACTTTGCCGGCAACGGGCACTATTCAACTGGCACTAAACAGGGACCTCTGCTGTAGTTGCATGGGTGGTGTTGCAGCAAAGATAACCTAAAAGTAAGGTTTTGCTCAAGTGGTGAATTGTTGGTTGTGGGCAGGGCTGATGCATGCCGACTGGTAACAGTTATAGACGTCTTTCCTTTCTTCGTTACATATGTTGTATGAGGGTGTTGCTGCAGCGAAGAAAACGCCAAACGTAAAGGTAGGGGTGTTATACTCCGGCACGGTCGTCGCAAGTGTGTCTGATGCTGATCGGCCTGAAGCGAAGCAGATGGGCCAACCAAGGAGAACTTGATGTTGTTGGATTTGTTTTTGGGCAGGACTGATGCCCACTCACTCGGCTCTTTCTTTATTCTGGCTCTCTCGGGGTGATGTCAACACGCCTCTTGCTGGTGTGTATGTAATGCGTGTGTGATCAGATGCACGTCATGGACAAGAGCAAGCTCATGGAGGCCCTTCAGAGGCTCCCCATCAGCTTCGGAATGGCCATGGGCGTCAGGGCCAAGTGTCAGAAGGTGGCCCAGAGGTGAGATGGCGAAAGAAAGAAAGAAGGAAATATCAAAAGAAGCCGCACTATTTTTGTGCATGGATCCGTAGAGCAGATACTATTTTCTTCTCGAAAATGAATCATCCCGGCCGTAAACGAGTTCTTGTACTGCCGCAGATGGGCGATGAGGAGGCAATAACTGACCTTGCCCCTTCCCCCTCCCCCGAGGTCCATGGTCTAACGACTACAGCATGCGTTTCCATGAGTACACCCC